AAGTAGCGAGGGACTATTGTAATTCTAATAAGTCAGTTCACCTGTGAGGTTTTGGAAACACTATTGTAATACCATGCTCAGCGTATTGATACTAATAAATTTATGTAAGGTAAACTGGCTACCATTTGTTTGCTCCATTGGTTGTTTTGTTTACATCAGAGCTGACTTAACTTGATCAAAATGTTCTAGAGATGTGTTTGACATTTTACACATATCAAATGACTTTCAGTGATTATGTCACCGTCATGTCTTAGTAAAAAGCTTTTTTTATTTTTAATTGTAGTAGAAGAATTGTGGCTCTAGAACAGTCTTTGGTCTCTCTACTAAATATTGAAAGGTAGTGCTTTGTCTCTTTTTGGCATAATCCAACTGGTCTTATTGAGTGGTTTTATCAGAGTTTTGTTTCACTTTAGATCTTCGGTGGATCCAGAAGTGCCAAGACCAGCTACGGAGATTTATTTCATCTTCCTTCTTGGTGGAAATATTACATCACCTCAGAAAGGTGGGCGTCCTGACTTTGGCTGAGGAGACTGACATTATGGAAGCTGGCCAATTACAGGACCAAGTTAACATGCTTACCACTATTGTCTCTGGCAAGGAGAGTCAATGCTCTGATGCCTTACAAGCTTTCATAGAGAGCTCAGATTCTCCAGCTGCTCAACTTATATTAAACCATGGTAAGAGGCTCAAACTAAAATAAAACTGAAGTGGCTCATGAGTTAATTTCTAAATCATCTTAATGCATATTTAAACTGTGCTTGTGGCCCAGACTATTTAGTCTACAGGAAATTGTTAGCAGGGCCTTTGATATTTTTGACAAATAAAATGTACTTTTGGTAGTTCTTTAACAGCAACTTTTTTATTTTCTTCTTAGATTCCATGTTTAAAAAGCACAAAGAGTTGCTTTTGCAGCAATTTGAAAAGTACAGGGACAGAGATTCTGTCAGCTGCCCAAAACTGAACATCTCCTCAAGACCCTTACTGCTGGTTGACGGACTTTCTGACTTCCAACAAAAGGAGCACGACCTGATGCAGGTGGGAGTAACTCGAGGTGGCAAAAGAAACCACCTGAGGCAGCTGGGGCTAGAGAAGCTCTTTGAGCCTCTGACACGGGTTAGTTTGCCTCCCAGGGTCTCCCTGACTGTTGGGGTAGCTGGCATTGGCAAAACAACCTGGGTACGACACTTCGTCAGACAGTGGAGCCAAGGGCTCACCTGCACAGAGATACACTTCGTATTACCTTTCACTTTCTGCGAACTGAACTTGCTGGAGCGACTTTCTGTAGAGAGGTTAGTGAAAATGACTTTTCCTCATTTGACAGACCCCAGTTTGGTCTTGAGTAGTGCATGCCGAACACTGCTCATATTTGATGGTTTGGATGAGTTTCGCACAACTTTAAATTTCACTGATGCAGCTTCTTGCAACGACCCAAAGAAAGAAATTCCCCTTGACAACCTAATTACTAACATCATCCGAGGGAATATGCTTCCAGAGGTGGCTGTGTGGGTGACTTCAAGACCAGGAATTGCCTCACTTATTCCTGGAGGACTGCTAGACAGGGTAACAGAGATCCCAGGATTCAGTCCCTCTGACATCCAGATCTTTCTCAAACACCACTTCTCTGAGAAGGATTTTGCCAGCAGAATGTGGGGACACTTGGAGTCCCATAAGACCTTGATGGTTATATGCTATATACCATGCATTTGCTGGATGGTAGCTGACACTTTGTTATACATCATGCAGAGTGGAACACAGGAAAGCCTCCCTAAGACTTGCACTGAGCTGTATGCCCATTTTTGTTCCATGAAAGCTGAAGTAGGTGAACCAAGAGGCAGGGAGCCTGTAAAAATGGAACAGCTTCACGGGACAAATCGTAAACTGCTTGCAAACCTTGGGCGGATGGCATTCTATGGCCTCCTAAAACGCAAGTACACCTTCAGTGAACAAGATTTCAGAGCTTACGGGATTGATTTACTGTTAACTCAAAGCAGTTTTGGAGCTGGAATTCTTATTCGAGGAGAATCCGCCATACACACAACGTACAGGTTTACACATCTGACATTGCAGGAGTTTCTTGCAGCTACTTTCTACCATGTTTCATCGAAGCGAGCCATCTTTGACCTGTTCTCTGAAAGCACTATGTCTTGGCCAAAGATCGGCTTCCAAAACCACTTTAAAAGTGCCTTTCAGAACTCACAACAAGCTGAAAATGGTCACTTGGATTTATTTGTGCGATTCCTGACAGGCTTGCTGTGTCCAACAGTGCTTAAAACTCTTGCTGGGCTCCTGACTCTCGGGAAAGACGATGGGAATCAGAAGGCATGGGCAGCAGGGTTTTTGCAAGGTCTCTTAACCAGCGTGGGTGCTGTGATTTCCCACCGGGCTGTCAACTTGGGGTACTGCTTACAAGAGCTACAACACACAGAGCAGCTTCGGAGTATAGAGGAGGACCTACGGCTTGGTAACTTGGCTGGAAAGTTAACCCGGCCTCACTGCATAGTGCTGGCATACCTGCTACACGTCTCTCCAGAGTGCAGCGAACAGACCAACCTGACAGGCTGTCTGAACTACACAACAGTGAAAAGTTTACTCCCGCAGCTACTGTATTGTAGTCATCTCAGGTCAGATTGTCAAAGCACCATCTCTCAGTTGGTTAAAGCTCAGAGACGTGTGGCTGAAATCTTTCTGCTACTTGTTGAACAGGTTGGAGAATAACAACTTCAAAGACGATGTGATGGAATTGCTCGGAAGCCTCTTGAGTGCCAAAGACTGCCACATCCACAAAATAAGGTTAAATCACATTAAAAGTTTAATTTCTTGTCATGTTAAAGTATCACTTATGGAACATTTACCCATCCCATAGGTCTAAACCAAATGGAGTTTCTTAATTGCGCAGATGATGACAGAACATTTTTATCATTGTTAAAATGTTGCCTGAGTGCCACCTAAATGGTAAATCTATAAATAAATAAAGAAATAAATGAAATAAAAACATAACAACAGGATTATGACGTTGCAGATGTTTTGCTTCCCATTGGGGCAGCTGCAGCACAGTGATAGGGCAGCTGTTGTATGACTGGAAATTCACAGATTCAATTCCCCACTATGGTCATGTGTCACGGTGTACTTGTGCTCTTTGCGCGCTTAAATAGCTGCCCATTGCTCCACTTGTGTATGTTTCATGTGTGTGATGGGACAAATGCAGAGAACACATTTTGTCATTGTATATGAATATACAACAACATATTCTTTGATTTCAAAAGTATAAAGTATGGGGTTCCCAGTTTAACTCTTGGAGATGTCTTGTTTATGTAGCTAATTTAAATTCATATGATCATTGCAGTCTTTGTTAACCTAGCTCTAAAAAGTAAAAAAATAAAAAATAAATTTTGGGCCCCGTTTTGGCCATTTGTGTACTTGACAGCACTTGTTCTCTCAGAAACTGAAGCTTTTTTTAATCCTGGTCTGTGAGAAGTTTGTGGAAACCCTGGCATTGGTTTTATATTGTGCATGGGCACTACAGGCTGCAGTCAGTACATTTCTGTGCCTGGACAATTAGATGAACAACAGTAATGGCAGATAGAGTGCTGTTTTGTGCTACTCACCCTTTGCAATGTGAAGGAGCAAACTAACCGCATCCTCAGACCAAACGAGTGGATGGAGTTTTCATGTTGTCTCCATGCATGCGTGGGTTTTCTCCGGGTACTCCGGTTTCCTCCCACAGACCAAAAACCACCCGCTTCGAATGTTATCAGCCATTAAATGGTCGTTATTAGTTGTTATCATCCCCATATGTAGCAGTCAGACTGCCCCTCCTGTACCTCCTAGTGGGTTTAAAGGTACGTTGTTAGCGATGATAACAGGCTCCGTTTTTACCTTTGTTAGCGCTCATAATAGCTTCACGTGGTTAGGTTTAGAGTAAAGGGTCTGGCGGTTAGGTTTAGGGTCTTGGTTAGGTTTAGGCACAAGGGTAAGGGGGTTTAGTTTAGGGTTGGTCTTCTGGGTCAGGTGTAAGGTTAGGTTTAGTAAAAAGGTTACATAAGCTGAAAAAAACAAAAAAGACACTTCCTGGTTTACCCCTGTGCGACGCTGCTTATTATCAGTGATAATAACAATAATAACGTACCTTTAAACCTACTAGGAGGTAGGTGGGACAGTCTCACTGCTACATATGGGGATGATAACAACTAATAACAGGCATTTAATGGACTGATAACATCCGAAGCCGCTCCCTAAAACATACACGTTAGGCTGATTGATAACTCTAAATTGTCCCTAGGTGTGAGTGAGAGAGTGAATGGTTGTTTGTCTCATCTGTCTCTGTGTCCCTGTGATGGACTGGAGACCTGTCCAGGGTGTAGGCTGCATCGCACACAGTGACTGCTGGATATGGACACCAGTGATCCCCATGACCCGAAAAAGAAGAAGCGGGTAAAGATAATGGATGGATGGATGGATGTTCGTTCATTCGTACGTTCGTTCGTTCACTCGTTCATTTGTACGTTCATTCATACGTTCGTTCGTTCGTACGTTCGTTCCATGATTAGCATTGAACAAACACTAATGTGTCCAGAGATTTGTTTTTTACGTCTAAACAGAGCCTTGGAATTAAAATGACTGGATATCAGGATTACGTATTGCTCTAAAGGTTTTAGAAAGCTATAATATGAAACCTCCTCTTCTGCCTAAAGCAGTTTTTTTTCTTATTTAATGTAGGCTTCCTTTAATCCCCCCCCCCCCCCCCCCACAATATTTGTCTACCATACTCTGTTGAGAACATGAGAGCAGGAACTTTTTAGCCCTCAAAACTGTGTCCTTTATCACTGAGGTATAGGTGCAAAGTTGAGTTTTGGACTGAGGAACTGGCTCTCCTTTGTGAGGAAGTCTAAAAAAGCCACAGAACAGAACACGGGAAGCAAAATGTCCTCAACTTTAAAATATAAGCCCAGTTGTTTTGTTTGTATATTTTTGGTGGGGATTTGCCATGTCCTGGATGTTTGAGAATCTGCACACCTAAATGGTACTGGTCTAAATAATGAAATCAATTGCTAACAGTATGTTGTGCCAATGAATTGTAAACTCTTGGGTTCATCTTCACAGTTTGGCAGACAATGCCATCAGCAACAAGGGAGCCAAAGCCTTGAGCCGAGCCCTCCTAGTGAATCGAACACTAACATCTTTCAAGTAAGAGTTCATTCCTGTCTGAATCTAATAATTAGTATGAGATTGTGTTCAGCATATTCATTCTGGATACACACATTTCTTCATATGGCTTACTGAACTCTTTTTCAGAAACTGCAACAAAATCTCCATTCGGTTATTTGTAAATTTAATAGACGTCAAAGTACAACTGTTCCTTGAATTAAAGCTTGTGTAAAATTTGATGATTAAATCACACACAAAAAGGTGAAATTGTTTAATATTGTAGTAAAACACCAGTTTTTATTTAATACACATTTTATGTGAAGTTACAAATTCTTAGCAAAAGCAATACGTGTCCATTCAGTCTGAGTAGGTTTAACCTGTTTCACAATCGTTAGTCATTACATGTCTCATCAGTTTCAAAGGGAAATAGAATTGGACTTCAGTCAGGTTAGTTTTTCTAAACCCCTTGATGTTGTGTGTCATACAGAATAAAAATTGTTTGGATGAAGTAATTAAAAGTCTAGCATGTTAAGAAGGAATGCATTTTGCCAAGTAGCTGCATTCCACATAAAGTTGAGACTAAAATCATCTTGTATTGAGAAGAGACAGCGATGCTTAATTTTCAAACGATTTCTTAAAATATATTTTAGTGATTCTTAAGATCTTTCATTAAAAGACAGACAAGATTCAAGCCACCAGATAATTCCAAATTTAAAGCAAATGTGTCACACACAAGGTAATAGCAATTGCTGTTAATAACTCAATTAGCAAACATACATACAGGTATACAATATACGGTATGTGTATATATATATGTGTATGTGCGTATATACAATAAATAATACATAGATATTTTAGTTAATATGGAGATCCTGACATCTTCTTATTCCAAATGCAATGTTACTCTGGGCGCATCTGCATTTCAGAACTTGGGTCCACTATCTTGCTTTCTCGTTCTTACTTTTCTCATCTCTTTTGACTCAAGAACTGGCCGGTGCTCAGATTTGATTGTTTCTATTGTTGGTAAGCAGAGCTTCAGGTGACGTTGCTTTATGCAGTGACAGACTGTGCGACAATGGTTTCCCAGGAGACCCAGAGCCCATGTGCTTGTATTGATCATTTCTCATGCTCGAGGGCTTGTGGGTCAGTGGTTTCCAATTTCTGTTTTCATGCACTGACATATCCTCAGACCCCCCAAGTAATACTGTCAGAGTAAAGAGGATCAAAGTTCTTTTTTCTACTGAGAAACCTTTATTTTGATCTTGACAGAAGTTATAGCAATGTTCGGTTTGAAGTAAAACCTATGATCAACTATTTCTCGTCTGTTACTCAAGTTACTCAAAGTGTTACTTGTTGCAACAAGTAACACTTTGTGTTTGCTGCAACAATTTGTTGCAGAGCTTTTATCCTCTCTCCTAATTTTGGTTGAGTGTATTTCTAGATTTGTTATAATTGTCCAAAGACAATGGAGATATTGAATGAAGAAACAGGACACCTTTTCCTTCGTACTTGTGTCTGTTATATAAAAGTTCAAACTTTAAGTTTCTTGCTTTTTAGAAAACTGAGTTTGTTTTATTTAAAGTTGACCTCTTTATTATTATCCAGCCTCAGGAACAACAGCATCGGATCTAGAGGTGCGAAGTTCCTTGCAGAGGCTCTGAAAATGAACCAAGTTCTGACATCGATTAAGTGAGAGTATCTTTGATTTATACGTTCAAATATTCGTGCTAAAAACAATTTTACCAGATCTGAATATGTCTTCACCAGCTTGCAGAACAACGCCATTGAAGAGGAGGGTGCTCAGGCCCTTGCAGAGGTGCTACAAAGCAACCGCAAGCTGGTGACTCTGAAGTAAGTTTAGCCTTGATTTCAGTCAGTGTCTGGTACTAACTGTATGAGAAAGGAGCCAAAATAAAGTATTTGATGGTTATATACTGTAAAGTTTAATGCGTTTTCCTTCGATGCATGTGATGTTTCAGCTTGCGGAAGAATACGATTGGAGCCGGTGGAGCCAAAAGGATTGCTGATGCACTGAAGATAAACCGAACTCTTACAAAGTTGATGTAATCACTTTAAAACTCATCTGATAGTTCTGGTGCTCTTTCTATTCACATGTTTGTGGATTTAAATTTAGCTGTCCATTAACAGACTAACTTGTTGCTTACTGTCAGTATGTTCAGACAATACACTTGATTTCATGTTACCTATAAATAAACACAAAGCTTATATTTAAATCACTGAACTCAAATGAATTGGTTTGAAGATCCTTAAATAAACTGGTTCAGAGTTTAGGTGATCAAGACAAAATCTGAGACAATTGTTGAAAAGCAAATTATGTAATCGTCAGTCTTTCAGGCAACCCTACTTTCAAAATGCATTTTTTTAATTCTGAGTTGAAAAAAAAAAAAAGGACCAATCAGCTTTTTATTAAATAACGAGGGTCAAAACCAAACCTCTGTGATATTATAAGTTTTATTAGACCACATTACATGGAATATTAGAGTTTTGTGAAGGCATCAATAATGCAAAGCAATAAATGTGTTTTGTTACCTTTCAGATTGTGTCCTTTTTGGGGAAAGTCTTGCTTAATTCATCAAGGCAATACCAAACAAGCATGGTGCTATGAGCTTGTAGCAATGTTGCATCTCTTCCCAAGTTTTCTTAAAAATAATGAATGATTAATTAATTTAAAAAAAAAGTGATTTGAAAATGAAATAGTCACATTTATTTGATTCTACATTTTAAATGTATTTAAATTATGTTTAGTAGTGATTCCCATTGTGGTGTATTCCATGTTCCGCTTTAAACCATTTAACAGTGTTTTAGTATTTCCAGTGTTGTCTTTTTCTTTTCTACAGTCTTTGCAGTAACCAGCTCGGGGACAAGGGAACAGTGGCTCTGGCTGAAGCTTTGACATTAAACCACACTCTGCTGTCACTTCAGTCAGTATCCTATGATTTCAGTGCATTTTAGCTTATGTGTTTCCAGTTCTTTGCAATCAAACAGTGCTTTGCTAATGCATTTGGGCATTATGGGACAATACTTTGGTTTGATAGGTGGAGAAGCAAATGGCAACCTCTTCTTGCAAGTCATTGATTATAGATGCATTTAACCCCTTTTCAGACTTCAAAGTAACTCAATTAGCAACAGAGGGATGACAGCACTGACCAAATCCCTGAGGCTGAACCGAGGCTTGGTCTCTCTGAAGTGAGTATCAAACCTTTTATTTTTTTTTCTGAATGATTTAATTGGTATAGTCATCCCAGACCTGTCTTTTATTCCTGTGTTTCTCTGTTCATACAGTCTGAGGGAGAACTCAATCGGGGTGGAAGGAGCTAAGAACATGGCTCAAGCCTTGCAGGAAAACAACACTTTACAGGAACTTGAGTGAGTCACCTCATTATTATCAGCGCAGGATAATTATCCACTGCTGTGTGGAGCAAGCTGACTTTACAGTAAAGAGGAATCCTCAAAGCTGCTGTATGATGGAAAAGCACAGATTATTGTGATGCTCTCACAGCTTGTCAGCTCTAGTGTTATGATGATTATTACCTTTTTTTAATTAATGCCAATATCACTCTTTAAAGCGAAGTGAAAAAGCCCAAGCACTGAGAATGACAAACACATTGATAGTGATATGTTTGTGTCAATTTTTATTGTGTCATTGTTCATTGCATCATTTCTGGCTCTGTCTGCATGTGTTTGAATGTTTGCATGTCTGCGTCCCAGTCTCACAGCAAACCTGCTACACGATGACGGGGTTCAAGCAATAGCTGGAGCGATCAAGTTTAACCAGGGACTAACCTCTCTGCAGTAAGCGGACTTTGTTTTACGGAATCGGTGAATCAAGCAAAGTTAGCTCACATTAATGTGGGAAGTTTAAGCCACAGAACGGTGTGTGTTTAGAGTTGGAAAGCTGCTTGGAAAGTGTTAAGACCTCACCTATTATCGGACACACTTGGCGTTTGCAACGTTGCACTTGCGTTTTGAAGCCAAACATGGCTGCACAGCTGGAAACCTGAGCTCTGCCTCCCACAGCCAATTACGTTCAGCTCACAAAAACATGAAACCATAAGTAAAACAAGAAATGTTATTACCCTGGATTCAGATGTTCATGTTTGTCAACTAATTCCAATAAGATGCATTTAAAACGTTTAAGTAGAACAGTTGTTTAGTTTTAACCATTTTTTATTGGTTATTTGATTATTAACTGCAGCCTTTTAATTTTGCTGTCTAATTTGACTTAAATGGGCAGCACTACACTTTATGATGAAATTCTAGTTGTAATAAACAAACACAAACACACAAACAATTTTTACTGACATTTATTTGAATCAAATTTAATGCAAATAAAGTTTTTATGTTCATCTACTGGAACTGAAAAGCTACCAGTTGCGTATGCTTTTATGCACATTATAAAAATTAAAAATAAAATATTATGAAGGATTGCATTTTTCAAACCAAAGTTTTAATCAAAGATGTTGCATAATTCATAAGGCTTCATAGTGAGTGTTGGAGATGACTCTCAGCTACTACCTCACTAAATTTTAGCTTGATGTCAGTGAAAGTGATTGAGTTTTGATCATATTTGTGTCTAATAAGGTTGACTTGCTGTGGCAGCCATTTTGAATTAGGTTGATGTCAAACAATGATCCGTTGTGGTTGCCTATTAAATTATATCAATATAAATATTACTTTCCTTAAACCAGTGGTTCAGTAGATATTTTGTTAACAGGCAGACAAATGAGCACATGGATGCACAGGCACAAGCATTATCACCTGGCTTTAATGGCTCCACATGATTCATATTTAAATACAGGTTTTGTATGCATGCTGTGAATAAAAAGTTAGAAAACACATGTTGCTGATAAAAAAAAACAACTGTTCCATCTGAATATAGAGAAATAAAAAGGAGTTTTAATATCAGAGTTGTACGAAAGAGCACCAGTCATTTCTGTTTTATTCTCCTAATTGTTATATTTGACCCTGAGTATATTTATTCTCTTTTTTCCAGCCTCCAGTGGAATTTCATCAAGTCCACAGCCACTAAAGCTCTAGCTCAAGCACTTCTCTCCAACACCAAAATTCAGCTCCTGGAGTGAGGCGCGCACACCAGTTCACTCACCTCCATCCCACACGCTGCAGTTTCTCTTTATTTATGTCAGCTGTTAAAGCAGATTCTGCCCATAGCTAATGACTTGTTTACTGATTAATGATGGTTATATCTGCTGTGATACTGAACAAAAAAGGTGGAATAGTTCCTCACAGCAGGCGGAGTTTGAATATGTTTTCTCTTCATCATCTGCTGCAGTCTACAAGAAAATGCTATCGGTAACGAGGGTGTCATTTTTCTTGCTGAAGCTCTGAAAATCAACAAGTCTCTGAGAACCCTGTGGTTGGTATCCACGAACAATAACTAAATTATAGTTTTACTCTGAAACATTTAAATGTAAGTTTGTGCAATGACTTCTTTATTTTTCTCTTTCTCTCTCTCAACACTTCACCCCGGTCATGTTTTATTTTATTTTATTATTTTTTTACACGTCGTCTGTTAAGTCTGCAGGGAGTTTCAGCAGGTCAGAGCGGTGCTGTTGCCATGGCAGAAGCTCTGGTGGCCAATCAAACTTTGCGAACATTAGAGTGAGTCCACGTCCTTGCTTATTTATTTATTTATTTATTTATTTTTATCCTTTTGGATGTTTGACATTCAGTCACTGTCACCAAGTGAGCTAATTTATCCTTATTGGACTGTTGAGAAGCATTTATAAAACTTTGTTTATGTTTGACTGGATAACTTTAATTATAGCAGAACAGTTAAAAGCGGCATCTTTATTAAAATGTATAAACATTCTCAATCTGAAAGGAAAAGTGGAACTCTAAAAATAACATTTAAAACTAACATAAAATAAAATCACAGAGAACGTATGCTGTGAACTTGAGGTTGTTGGGACTTAAGCTGATGGAAGAAAAAGAGGAATCTTGATCTTTTATATGAACCTCGCCTGATTTTTTTTTTTGCACGCAGAGTGCACACAGATCTTATTGGTTCCCAGGCCTGGTCCTTGAGGAACACCATCCTGCATGTTTTAGTTGTTTCCCAGCTCCAACACACCTGATTCAAGATGGCGATGAGATTGTTCTAGAATTGCTTGGAGTAGCTCTGTTACATTCATTCTGAGATATGCTTTTGAAAACTCCAACTCATGTTTTTCTGGATGTAAAGCCCTTTTTTTTGGACGATTGTTTCCTCTGGTTTGGATGCTGTGCAGCTGGAAGAATTGTTGCTCAAATCTCAAATGAGTTGAAAAGGAGGCTCCGTGGATGCATTCCCCTCAACCTGCCAGCTGAGCTTGAGTGGCTGACCACTAAGATCCTAAGAGCTCCTAAAAAGCTCTTGGAACTGGCAAGAAATGCGGCTTGTGACAGCAAAAGGACCGGGATTGCCCCCCGGCACCTGCAGCTGGCTGTCCGCAGCAACGAGGAGCTTGACAAGCTGCTGGAAGGAGTGGCCATCGCTCTGGGAGGAGTTCTGCCCGACATTAGAATGATCCTGCAGCCCGGAGAATAGAGAGGCCAGCCGAGTCTGGGTGGACAGCGGACAACATCTGCGGCCAGTTTCTTCAGATCCACTGTGGGACGGACCTTTACAAGAGATCCTTCCTGCCTACAGCCATCAGTATCTATAACATCTCAATGAAATGAGGATAACAAGTTACAACATTTAATTTCCCTTTGGAATTAATAAAGTATTTTTGAACTGAATTAAATTCAGTGATTAAATTACTTCCTCATGTCCTGCAGCAGCCTGTTAATCACCCATTAATTAAAAGCAGGTGTGTTGGAGCAGAGAAACAACTAAAACATTCAGGATGGTGTTCCTCAAGGACCAGGGTTGGGAACCCCTGCTTTAGAGTATTTACTGAAACTGCTCTGAGGAGATGCTCATACATGTACAGGTAGTTACAGTTCATTTGTGTTCCTAACCTTTTGTGTTTCCTGCTGTGGGGGTTTCAGTCTGCGTGGGAATTCTGTAGGGATGGAGGGAGCGAAGGCCCTGGCCAACGCCTTGAAATGCAACAGAAGCCTTAAATCATTAAAGTAAGTCCTGACTGCAGCTAAATGTCACACATCTGGACCAAAACCTTTACACGCATGATGCGTCACTTTCAAACCTAAAGCTGTTGGAGTTTACTAGAAACAAATATTACCGGCATTTTGTTTTAGCAGTTGTTTTTGTTGTTGTTGTTTTTCTAATTATGAACATTTAATAGTTCAATACAAGTTGGTGTCATACTTTACAGTATTCTACCAAAATGCTACAGCACTGAGTGATGCTGGTTTTTGCAGCTTCTTTTAATTCTGTTAAACTTGATTTATGTCAGACTGGCGTCATTTTCACAGCTGTCATTATTGTCCGATTTGTAAAGCGTCTAAAAAAAGTTTATTTTGTAAATGTCACATTTTCTGAAAAAGCAGCATGTCACTTGCAGTATTCACCCCAGTGAGCACTTAAATAAATAAGCTTGACATGTGATGGACTAAAAACAGTGACTGAGTCTGTGAATCACCAGTCTGCAGGAAAACTCACTGGGAATGGATGGAGCCATATTTATTGCAACAGCTCTAAAGGGAAACCATCAGCTAACATACATCAAGTATGTTTATTTTGTTGTTGTTGTTTTTGCTGCATCATCTATGGGTTCATGAATCTGTTAACAATAAATTGTTTATCTTTTTTTTATTTTTTTTTTTGCTCTGTAGTTTGCAAGGAAATGGCATTGGAGAGTCTGGAGCGAAGGTCATATCTGATGCCATAAGAGCCAGTGCTTCAGGCTGTGTGGTGGACATCTAACCAATGAAAGAAGAGTGTTTACACAGAAGGAAGAACTTCAGTCATAATTTAGTCAAACTCTTGCTTTACAATGCACTTTAATACCACATGCTCAGTTGGTAGAATATTGGCACGATGAAATATTTATGGCAAAATGACAAATTGTCACTGAAGAGCTTATCAGTGTTGGGAAAAATAAATTAAAAGCCTAGCATTCCTTGAAAAAAGGGTGTGTGTGTCACCACCTTTCTTCTCAGTTTTAAACTAATGTAAATAAGTGCAATCTCAAACGAGGTCTTGTAAGATGTGTTAGTGCTCAGAGTATGTGCAGATAATGAGTCTAAGCTACTACCACAGCAAATCTAGCCCAGTATCTGTTTATTTGACTGATTTAAATACATTTTTGTGTTGGTGAAGGTCAATTAGCTGTGGCAGCCACCTGGAATAGGATTGACTCCAAAATGTATGGAGTTGTAGATGTACACCCATTAATTACTTTCACTAAAAAGCTCAGTGATTCAATCGATATTTTGCTAACAGACATCCACAAAAATGAATAAAAACATTGTTTTCATCTTCAGTGGCAGGTGATAAAAAGGCTTCATGCACAGAGCACAATATGAATTATTTACAGAATGTACATGATTGAACAACTAACATATTTTGTGACACTTTGCAGAATCAATAAAATTAAAAAAGCTACCATATGTGTTGAACATAAACAAGTTGTTTTAGGTTGTCTGTATTTTTAGATAATAAAAGAAAGAAATAAAAAGAAAATGAAGTTGAGAAAATACTCAAGTAGCAATATAATTCGTCATTTAGCTAATAGGAATTCCTCATTATCTTCAAAACATGTGCGCTTGTTAATTTGTTCTGTTACAAGGTATTAAAGGAAAACAAGTCTAAACAAATAAAAAAATAAAAAACCTCCTACCAGTATGACATACAAAGATAAGACAAACAGTGAGACCTTGTCTGGTTCACAAAATGATTTTTAACCGTTTAAAACTTTTTAGGCCAAGTATTATCACTGTTTCTGCAGGTGGCTGCAATTCCTTTGTCTGTTTCTGGTTTTTCTTTGTTAAGACAACTTCAAGGAGAACACGGCTTTGCGCCTGTGTAGTTTTCAGTCTTATCAGTGTGCAGACACACAGGGGGAGAACTAATTATTTTGAGAACACAATCATCCCACAGCACCTGGTCAGCAAACTGGCTATAGGCTTCAACAGCGCCTTCAGGAACTGGATCCTTGACTTCCTCTCTGACAGACCACAGTCGGTACAAGTGGGGAGGAACACCTCCTCTGTTATCAGTCTGAACATGGGTTCCCCCCAGGGCTGTGCACTGAGTCCACTTCTCTTTACCCTGATGACCTACAACTGCGTTGCCAGGTCTGAGACCAACCACATCATCAACTATGCGGACGATACCACAGTCGTGGGTCTGATTAGCAACAAGGATCAGGCATATCTGGATGAGGTGGCACACCTTGTGAACTGGTGTGGGGAAAATAACCTGGTTCTGAATGTCAACAAAGCAAAAGAGCTTCAACATCAACCATCTGCTCATAAACAATACAGGTGGCGGTGGTGGAGAGCACCAGGTTCCTGGGGGTGCACATAACCAATCAGCTGTATTGGTCAAGAAACACTGGGTCCATAGTGAAGAAAGCCCAGCAATGTCTGCACTTCCTCTGTAGGCTGACGAGATCACACCTCCCATCCCATGTCCTCACAGAGGAACCATCGAGAGCATCTGCATCTCAGTTTGGGAAGGAAGCTTCCCGGCTGCAGACTAGAAGGTTCTGAGGAGGGTGGTGAGAATGGCAGAGAAGACCATTAAGACGCCCCTCCCCTCTCTCCAGGACATTGGTCTCAGACGCTGTCTGACCAGAGACAATAAAATCAAAAGAGACAACTCACACCTACAATACGGACTGATTACTCTGTTGACCTCTGGCAGGAGGTACCACAGCCTGGTGAGAATAATCCACAGAATTTAAAGAAATGAAATAAATTGAATTTACCAGAACAACAAGATGCAAGCCAACGTTATGGGGTTCATACAGCAGAGAAGAGACAAACAGAAGTCAAATTACAGGAAATACAACATTAAAATAAGTCTTTTTTTTTTTTTTTTTACATTGGCTTAACATCAACTTGAATTTTGATGTTGCTTTGTGTAAAACAGTGGGGATCTATGCTTTGGAGCCAGTTCTTGGTGTGTTTACAACAAAAACTGTTATCTGGTGTGAGTCAGAGAGGGTTGAATATGGATGTAATAATCACCTTGTTGTGAGAGCTGGACATGTAATTACAGTAAAATACTATGAACATGAATGCTTTAAATTTTAGGACAGTATTTTTTACTCCAACACAACCAGCATGACAAAAAACACAGCAAAACACAATAATCCATCAGCGCGCTCTCATTCAAATCTAAAATATTGGTTATTTTATGTTATTTTTGTTTGCATTCTCTCACGTCAGACACAGACTTTTCAAATAAATCACTTTTATTTGTGATTTATGTCTTGAATCATCATCGCCCACTGCCAAAAGTTGAAACAAAAAGGAAATGTTCAAAATGCTGAGTGTACCAGCTACTTTAATTAGTATTTCATGGAGTTTGAGCTCTTAATCATCTAAAAAGGTAACAACCGTGTCTAATCAATTAATTTTTCTTTCATTCAACCTTTATTTAGACAGGTAAATCCCATTGAGCCTCGAGGACTCATTTACAAGAGAAACCTGATTTCAACAAAGAATGATGACAACAGTGACAACAATAGAATATATATAAAAAGGCATACAGATTTTTTTTTTTTTTTTTTTTTACAAATAAGATGGCAAAAAGACTAACAAAACAGCTAGATTATAAGGCGAATGTAGAAAACTATTTATTTAAACTATAAATTTATTATTTGTGTCATTGTGGGTGAGGTGGTGGTACAAACACAAAAGTATTTTACCCGCTGTCCAAAGCTGAAGAAGAAAGCTATTATAAACTTACCTTATCCATGAAAAGATGAGTTTTGTCATGGTCAGCAGCCCCCGCTGAACCCCCCCATCAGCCCCTGTCTCACACTCACAGCCCCATCATGTCACGTTTCTGCTCCTCTTTTTTTAAAAGCTTGCTGTTTTTCTTCTCTGTCATTAGCCACGCCCCCCTCTGCACTTTCAGCTCGTCAGCTCTGATTCACTGCACCTGTTCTTTGCCTTATTTAAAGAGTTCGACTTTCACTTGTCCTTTGCCGAATTATTGCACCACTCTTGGTCACTGATAGTAAAGTCATTCATAGTTTCTTGTGCCTTGCCTTGCCTTGCCTTGTATCCTTGCATCCTCGCATCCTCGCCTGTTTTTGGACTCCTCGCCTTACCTGCCCCTCTTGGATTTGTCTGTCTCTCTGGCCACAGTAACGCATCCCGTTTCCTCTACTAGACCACGCTTCACGGATTACGTTTTTGGATTTTGTATCTGGACCTCTGCCTTCCTGTTCATGACCCCTGCTCTGACAACCGGACCCCGTAATTGGATTAGCCCCTCAAACCACGTTATTGCAGCTGCTCTGCACAGGACCAGTGATGTCATCGCTGCAGTCTTGACAGGTGACTCTCACTCTCCATCTGCCTGTAAAGACTGTCAACACAGCTGACCCTGGCTTTGCACCCACAGCCTATAATCCATAAAAACTGTTCTTTTTGTACTCCTGCGTCTGGCTTATTCTGAATCCAAAACCTGAATGTGACAAGTTTTTGATATTGACGTTTGTTTTGTCCATTTTGCAGTGAAGGCAAACGCATGGAGGCTTAGCTTCCAAGAAACGTCTGCTTAACATTGCATTTTGAGATGATGATAAACAGGAAAAGATTCACCCATCCTTGCCTCTGCTTCAGTTCTGGCTTGCTTGTACAGTAGTTATCCCACTTTTACTACCACCACTAGACTTAAAGTAAAATCAAAGAACCCCGCCTCAGAAAGAAAATCAAATCTACATGTAATGACCACACACTGTTGGATAAATGAGTCTCAACCTTATTTGTCTGTAAAGTTTGTAGCAACCTTTTTTTTAAGCCACAAACCTGACCCTAGATGTTACGGACGGTTCAACACCACCTTCAGTCACTGTGGTATTCATTTGTGGCATTTTTGAGGAAGTGACTCATTCACCGTACAAATGAACACAGCAACCCTTTCAGCCTCAAACATTTCAAAGGTAAAGCTAGGTGCTCCAGAACATCAGACATGCTGTCCTTATCTGCCAAAAATGAAATTATTTACGGTTATTTTAAGATCTACAGTGTCAAAGTGTTGTTTTTTTTTATTATTTACTTATAAACAAAGCATTTTGCAGATGTTTTCTCAGATCATAAAAGGACAAAGGGTATGGGGTGCCATTTATAAAGTTGTAGAGTCAAAAATTAACATAAATATTTTGGTTTATTTAGCTTTTAATAAGAAAAAAAGTTGTTGTTTTTTTTCAAAGTCATAGTTTCACCCTGTTCATACATTTATAAATGTCATAGGTCCCAACTAAATATTTAATTTACATGATAAAGAGTTGGGTTACAAACTAAATACTTAACTTGCAAGTTAAATATTTATAGTTGGTAAACTAAATATTTACCAAATATTTTGATATAAACTAAATATTTAATTTACATCTAAATTTTTAGTTTACTCACTAAATATTTAAATTCTAAGCTAAACATTTAATTCCTAAACAAAATATTTTATTTGCTAACTACCGGTAGATATTTACCTTGGACCTGAATAACTAAATATTTAATTTCCAAAATAAATATTTAATTTGTTAACTAAATATTTAACTTGCTAGCTAAATATTTAAATTGCTAGTTAAATATTTAGGTCCGAGCTAAATATTTAGTTAGCAAATAAAATATTTAGTTTAGGAATTAAATGTTTAGCATAGAAATTTAACATTTAGTTAGTAAACAAAATATTTAGGTGTAAATTAAATATTTAATATATATACCAAAATATTTTGTTTACTAACTAAATATTTAACTTGTAA